AATGATGTACTGATGGTGAATAGTGGTACTGGTGGTGGGTAGTGGTAGTGGTAGTGATAGTAATGATGTACTGATGGTGAATAGTGGTACTGGTGGTGAATAGTGGTACTGGTGGTGGGTAGTGGTACTGGTACTGGTACTGGTAGTGATAGTGATGGTTTGTAGAGGAATGATGTACTGATGGTGAATAGTGGTAGTGGTACTGGTACTGGTACTGGTACTGGTACTGGTACTGGTAGTGGTGGTGGGTAGTGGTAGTGGTAGTGATAGTAATGGTGGGTAGATGAATGATGTACTGATGGTGAATAGTGGTACTGGTGGTGGGTAGTGGTAGTGGTGGTGGGTAGTGGTAGTGGTAGTGGTAGTGATAGTAATGGTGGGTAGAGGAATGATGTACTGATGGTGAATAGTGGTANTAGTGGTAGTGGTAGTGATAGTAATGGTGGGTAGAGGAATGATGTACTGATGGTGAATAGTGGTAGTGGTGGTGGGTAGTGGTAGTGGTAGTGGTGGTGGGTAGTGGGTTGGTAGTGGTAGTGATGGTTGGTATTGGTAGTAGTAATGCTACTAGTTAATGGTGACGGTGAAGAGGGTGATGGTTTACTGTATATTTTATGTATTTTTCTTCCAGTGACTTCGAGTCCTTGGATGACGACACCCAAGTGGTGGCCACAGCACGAGGTACCTTCACCTCTAAGGGCGGCATCCTCTCTTCACCAGAATCAGGAGTCAGCATCCACATCCCTGAAGGAGCAATCCCTTATGGTATTGAACAAGAAATCTACTTCAAAGTCTGTAAGGATAACAATATTATGCCTCCACTGGACACAGATAAAGGTAAGACTAGGTCATGTGCATTATATTTATTTAGTGGTACATCTATAGAGACTTGAAAACTTGGACTAGAAAACTTGGACTGGAGTTTGAGGATCTATTAGAGGTTTTGCGCCATCCCGTGCCACGCCCATAATACAGCTTGGGCTGCGCGTGATTAAATGGGAGAACAATAAAATCTCTTTGCTCTTGGAAATAGCCCACTTCCGAAACAGGCTTCGCTTGTCACGCACAAAGGATTCAACGTGAGGCTTCGTGCTAAACGCTCAGTGACTCGTTACAGGAGAAAAGAATTAATTTAATTAGCACATAGCCTCGTACTGAAGCCTTTGTACGGGACAAGCGAAGCATATCTCTTTTTCATGTAAAACGTTTGTATTGTTCCTTCCATCTAATATCGCTGTCGTCACGTTATGGTGCTATAGACCTCTTTAGCTTAAAAAAAAAACAGAGCCTTTACAAGGTGCTTTCAAAATAGTAATTAATAATCAATAATAATATCGTGTTTTAGGCGAAACCCTTCTGAGTCCATTGGTCATGTGTGGGCCCCACGGAACGCAATTCCTCAAACCTGTTGAGCTCAGACTACCACACTGTGCGTCTATGACCCCAGATGGTTGGTCATTCGCCCTCAAATCAAGTGAGACACCGACAGGTAGGTGAAACACTTATTTTTTGGGCAGTAGTAGCCTGTGTGATAGATGTATTATTATGGGAAGCATGGGTGGCGTAGCGGTGAGAGCGCTCGCCTCTCACCAATGCAACCCAGGTTTGAGTCCCCACGAGCTCGGTGTCGTATGTGAGTTGAATTGTTTGTTGGTTCTCTCCTGTGCTTCGAGGGTTTTTCTCCGGGTTCTCCTGTTTTTCTCCCTCCGCAAAAATCAACTTCTATATTCCAATTGGAATCCAGTGGAAGAAGAGCCACTCTGTGGAATCCACTATTAACCCCATCATTATTTATTATTATTATGCTCTCTCTTCCTCGCTGGACTCAGTACACAAAGATCAGATTCAGCGACAGAATGTTTTGACCAATAAGGACGTGAGGTGACGGAGGCAGGGGTTTGGAAGTATTTTCAAAAATAATTGGTGTGAGAGGGAGGGGGGAGGGGGGTAGATCTTCTCTCTTTCTTGCTCGCCCCATTACACAAAGATCAGATTTCTTTCGCCTTTGGATTTCAAATTTTCTTTTCTCGAACTTTCTTTACCACGCCTTTTATTCTTGTTATGAAATTGATTATATTATATTATATTATAAAAATGATACCTTTTCCATCTCCACAGGAATGCCAACGCAATGGCAGAACGTCTCTATCCCTGGCCAAGAAAAGAAAGGCGACCCCAACAGCGTATCCGTATTGGTTGATCACTTCTAAATTCTCATTACATACCGCTAATTATCTAACCAAGCAATCTCTACACAGGAACCACTCGGACATTTTCGACAGAGTGTGTTACATATGACCTGGTAACTAGTTTCTACAAGACTGTCATGTAGAACATGTCAATCAATCAATCAATCATAGTGTATATTTTTATAATCTCGACGTTCCTAAGACATAGCAACCCCAAGCCAGTGTTTTCTTTATTTTGGCCATTTGTCACGTGACATCCATGGTAAAGTTTACTTGCGAGCAAATTGTGTATCATCTACACTGGTTTGGCTACCTGGGTTGCGTGAACAATAGATTTTTAGACATTTTCAATTTTCCGATCAGATTTTATATAAGTTGAACTAAAACGGAGTGGATGATCCCGTGACCTCGGTTGAGTCCCTAAAAAAAGACATCAGTAACGCTACATGGGTCACGCAATCTTGGTGACTATACTTGCGCTTTCGTTCATAAGGCTTTCCTTAAATCCGACAAAATCGTACGAAGCAAACGAGTACCCCAAAAAAACGTTAAATATTCACACAAAAATTCAGTTAAGGATATAAGTAATGTAATTCTTCGATTGTACGTTACGTCATCGCGGCCATGTTGGTGCCATTTAACAAAAGATTTCTCATTAGCACCCATTGTTAACGGTACCACAATGGCCGCCATRCTTTTGTCTTTTGACTCTCTTGGGAATGCTTGCAATCCATCAATACTTTTGTTCAAGAATAATTTTGTTTTGGAAGCTAGGTACGCCTTTTGCGGCTCTAAGATTTTTTTTTTTTTTTTTTTTTGAATTTTTGCATTTAAACGACACCAATATTTTCATTAGAAAATAAGAAATTTCTTTCTCGATATTTTAGTTTGCAAATTTTCTTTTGATGATCAAGTGAATAATATTTAGGGATACAATATAAAAAAAAGGGCATTGAAGAAAATAGTAAAGGCTTTTTAGTTTAAATTTTTCGCATCAAATTATCAAGTTATGTAGACACAAAGCAGGCACTTTATCCAAAGCACTTATCTTAAAGGAAAATCATATCCATTAACAATGGATTGAATATACACTATAAAGAATGCCTCGTAATCTTATAACACTTAAAAATGCTTGATTTTAATCGTAATCATTAAAAACTAACAATTGTATAAAAGTGATGTGGTGAGTTTTGGCGCCATTTTGTTGGAGCCTCGCTTTGAAGCGCGCGCGCGCGTCTCTGATGACCACGTGACTTGCAAACAAAAGTAGCGGGACTACAGTCTTTTAGCAAACTCTCTGTAATTGCCCTATTTCATAATGACGTCATGGTTTGTTTACATCGGCTAAAGTGATAGAAATTTAGGCTAAATTTAAGCTTAATTCTCTTCTTTGGAGATATTTAGCGTATTATTTAGTTGTTCTTGCCTTCACCAGCTCATAAACCAAATTTCATTGTGATTTAAGATGTGTTGTTGTCATTCCATCCCCCTCCAGCGACCAAGCATTAACGTAATAGTTTGTTTTGATGTGACGTCATTATGAAATGGGACAATTCATTCTTTGTCTTGATTCACCATTTTTCATAAATTGGTTCACTAGTCAAACACAAAGCGCTCAAGCGAGGCGCCAAGGTACTTTCAAAGGATTATTCAAATTTGACCATTGCAACCTCGACTGAATGCTTTGTGTTTGACCAGTGAACCGATGAATGGAAAATGGTGAATACTTGTGCTTATTTTTGCCATTGTCGCTATACTAGGAAATGGTGAAATATTAGGAAGGTCGATTCTAGCGCAAGACAAATCTATATATCAAAATGTCGATGTTAAAGCTGCCGATAGACGATGCAATTTTTTCTCGCGCTGGCAATGGCAAGTTGATTTCGTCTAAWTCTTCGTAAACGTTAATATCGCGAGTCTCCGTGTTTTCGGCTCAGAACCTCGCGATAGGAAATATCCAATACGGGATATATTTTCTCTCAACTAGCAGCTAATATGAAACCCCCTATTGGCGGTTCAAAATTGCAATTACTTATAAAAGTCTTCCTTACGTAAAACAACTTTTTTGTACCTTCTAAAGAGGTACCTTGGATAGAGTGCATAACATGTATCTGTGAAAACCTTGTAACAAATTGAGCAAATTTGCACAAATTAGTAAGTTTAGTAGACCTCAGTAGACCGTAGACCTACAAAACTTTCCACTAATTTGTACATGGTTATCTAATATTGTGACGGACATAGGTATGCACTCGACCTAGAAAAACGTACCAACTACTACCAAAAAATCAAATTCAACTGTAACAATCTTGTTTTGCAATCGAAGTTATTCCCTATATCTACCTAGTCTGAAAATGCCATAGTTCTCATGGAACACAGCTTTGTTCTTATGTGGACGATGTCTGGAATACCTAGGCTACCAAGGACTACAAAAAATATACACTCGATGATCAAGGTCAATGTTTTCATGGAACACAGCTTTGTTCC